TGTGCTGCTGCGTGTGTGCTGCTGCGTGTGTGTGTTGCTGCTGCGTGAGTGTGTGCTGCTGCGTGTGTGTGTGCTGCTGCGTGTGTGTGTTGCTGCTGCGTGAGTGTGTTGCTGCTGCGTGGTGTGTGCTGCTGCGTGTGTGTGTGCTGCTGCGTGTGTGTGTGCTGCTGCGTGTGTGTGTGCTGCTGCGTGTGTGTGTGCTGCTGCGTGTGTGTGTTGCTGCTGCGTGAGTGTGTGCTGCTGCGTGTGTGTGTGCTGCTGCGTGAGTGTGTGCTGCTGCGTGTGTGTGTGCTGCTGCGTGTGTGTGTGCTGCTGCGTGAGTGTGTTGCTGCTGCGTGAGTGTGTTGCTGCTGCGTGTGTGTGCTGCTGCGTGAGTGTGTGCTGCTGCGTGTGTGTGTGCTGCTGCGTGTGTGTGTGCTGCTGCGTGTGTGTGTGCTGCTGCGTGTGTGTGTGCTGCTGCGTGAGTGTGTGCTGCTGCGTGTGTGTGTTGCTGCTGCGTGAGTGTGTTGCTGCTGCGTGTGTGTGTTGCTGCTGCGTGTGTGTGTGCTGCTGCGTGGTGTGTGTGCTGCTGCGTGTGTGTGTGCTGCTGCGTGTGTGTGTTGGCTGCTGCGTGTGTGTGTTGCTGCTGCGTGAGTGTGTTGCTGCTGCGTGTGTGTGTGCTGCTGCGTGTGTGTGTTGCTGCTGCGTGTGTGTTGCTGCTGCGTGTGTGTGTGCTGCTGCGTGTGTGTGTTGCTGCTGCGTGTGTGTGTGCTGCTGCGTGTGTGTGTTGCTGCTGCGTGAGTGTGTTGCTGCTGCGTGTGTGTGTGCTGCTGCGTGTATGTGTTGCTGCTGCGTGAGTGTGTTGCTGCTGCGTGTGTGCTGCTGCTGCGTGTGTGCTGCTGCGTGTATGTGTTGCTGCTGCGTGAGTGTGTTGCTGCTGCGTGTGTGTGTGCTGCTGCTGCGTGTATGTGTTGCTGCTGCGTGAGTGTGTTGCTGCTGCGTGTGTGTGTTGCTGCTGCGTGTGTGTGTGCTGCTGCGTGAGTGTGTGTTGCTGCGTGTGTGTGTGCTGCTGCGTGTGTGTGTTGCTGCTGCGTGTGTGTGTGCTGCTGCTGCGTGTATGTGTTGCTGCTGCGTGAGTGTGTTGCTGCTGCGTGTGTGTTGCTGCTGCGTGTGTGTGTGCTGCTGCGTGAGTGTGTGTTGCTGCGTGTGTGTGTTGCTGCTGCGTGTGTGTGTGCTGCTGCGTGAGTGTGTGCTGCTGCGTGTGTGTGTTGCTGCTGCGTGTGTGTGTGCTGCTGCTGCGTGTATGTGTTGCTGCTGCGTGAGTGTGTTGCTGCTGCGTGTGTGTGTTGCTGCTGCGTGTGTGTGTGCTGCTGCGTGAGTGTGTTGCTGCTGCGTGTGTGTGTTGCTGCTGCGTGAGTGTGTTGCTGCTGCGTGAGTGTGTGTTGCTGTGTGTGTGTGTGCTGCTGCGTGAGTGTGTTGCTGCTGCGTGTGTGTGTTGCTGCTGCGTGTGTGTGTGCTGCTGCGTGTGTGTGTTGCTGCTGCGTGTGTGTTGCTGCTGCGTGTGTGTGTGCTGCGTGTGTGTGCTGCTGCGTGTGTGTGCTGCTGCGTGTGTGTGCTGCTGCGTGTGTGTGCTGCTGCTGCGTGTGTGTGCTGCTGCGTGAGTGTGTGTGCTGCTGCGTGTGTGTGTTGCTGCTGCGTGAGTGTGTGTGCTGCTGCGTGTGTGTGTTGCTGCTGCGTGAGTGTGTGTTGCTGCTGCGTGAGTGTGTGTGCTGCTGCGTGAGTGTGCTGCTGCTGCGTGTGTGTGTGCTGCTGCGTGTGTGTTGCTGCTGCGTGTGTGTGTGCTGCTGCGTGTGTGTTGCTGCTGCGTGTGTGTGCTGCTGCTGCGTGTGTGTGTGCTGCTGCGTGTGTGTTGCTGCTGCGTGTGTGTGTGCTGCTGCGTGTGTGTTGCTGCTGCGTGTGTGTTGCTGCTGCGTGTGTGTGTGCTGCTGCGTGTGTGTTGCTGCTGCGTGTGTGTGCTGCTGCGTGTGTGTGCTGCTGCGTGTGTGTTGCTGCTGCGTGTGTGTTGCTGCTGCGTGTGTGTGTGCTGCTGCGTGTGTGTTGCTGCTGCGTGAGTGTGTGCTGCTGCGTGAGTGTGTTGCTGCTGCGTGTGTGTTGCTGATGCGTGAGTGTGTTGCTGCTGCGTGTGTGTGTGCTGCTGCGTGAGTGTGTTGCTGCTGCGTGTGTGTGTGCTGCTGCGTGTGTGTGTGCTGCTGCGTGAGTGTGTTGCTGCTGCGTGAGTGTGTGCTGCTGCGTGAGTGTGTTGCTGCTGCGTGTGTGTTGCTGCTGCGTGAGTGTGTTGCTGCTGCGTGTGTGTGTGCTGCTGCGTGAGTGTGTTGCTGCTGCGTGTGTGTGTGCTGCTGCGTGAGTGTGTTGCTGCTGCGTGTGTGTTGCTGCTGCGTGAGTGTGTTGCTGCTGCGTGTGTGTGTGCTGCTGCGTGTGTGCTGCTGCGTGTGTGTGTTGCTGCTGCGTGAGTGTGTGCTGCTGCGTGTGTGTGTTGCTGCTGCGTGAGTGTGTTGCTGCTGCGTGTGTGTGTGCTGCTGCGTGTGTGTGTTGCTGCTGCGTGTGTGTGTTGCTGCTGCGTGTGTGTGTGCTGCTGCGTGAGTGTGTTGCTGCTGCGTGAGTGTGTTGCTGCTGCGTGAGTGTGTTGCTGCTGCGTGTGTGTGTTGCTGCTGCGTGTGTGTGTTGCTGCTGCGTGTATGTGTTGCTGCTGCGTGTGTGTGTGCTGCTGCGTGAGTGTGTGCTGCTGCGTGTGTGTGTGCTGCTGCGTGTATGTGTTGCTGCTGCGTGTGTGTGTTGCTGCTGCGTGTATGTGTTGCTGCTGCGTGTGTGTGTGCTGCTGCGTGAGTGTGTGCTGCTGCGTGTGTGTGTGCTGCTGCGTGTGTGTGTTGCTGCTGCGTGAGTGTGTTGCTGCTGCGTGTGTGTGTGCTGCTGCGTGTGTGCTGCTGCGTGTGTGTGTTGCTGCTGCGTGTGTGTGTGCTGCTGCGTGTGTGTGTTGCTGCTGCGTGAGTGTGTTGCTGCTGCGTGAGTGTGTTGCTGCTGCGTGTGTGTGTGCTGCTGCGTGTGTGTGTGCTGCTGCGTGTGTGTTGCTGCTGCGTGTGTGTGTGCTGCTGCGTGAGTGTGTTGCTGCTGCGTGTGTGTGTGCTGCTGCGTGAGTGTGTGCTGCTGCGTGTGTGTGCTGCTGCGTGTGTGTGTGCTGCTGCGTGTGTGTGTGCTGCTGCGTGTGTGTGTGCTGCTGCGTGAGTGTGTGCTGCAGCGTGAGTGTGTGCTGCTGCGTGTGTGCTGCTGCGTGTGTGTGTGCTGCTGCGTGAGTGTGTGCTACTGCGTGAGTGTGTGTGCTGCTGCGTGAGTGTGTGCTGCTGCGTGTGTGTGTGCTGCTGCGTGAGTATGTGCTGCTGCGTGAGTGTGTGCTGCAGCGTGAGTGTGTGCTGCTGCGTGAGTGTGTGCTGCGTGAGTGTGTGCTGCTGCGTGTGTGTGTGCTGCTGCGTGAGTGTGTGCTGCTGCGTGTGTGTGTGCTGCTGCGTGTGCGCTGCTGCGTGTGTGTGTGCTGCTGCGTGTGTTGCTGCTGCGTGAGTGTGCGCTGCTGCGTGTGTGCTGCTGCGTGAGTGTGTGCTGCTGCGTGAGTGTGCGCTGCTGCGTGTGTGCTGCTGCGTGTGTGTGTGCTGCTGCGTGTGTTGCTGCTGCGTGAGTATGCGCTGCTGCGTGTGTGTGTGCTGCTGCGTGAGTGTGTGCTGCTGCGTGTGTGTGTGCTGCTGCGTGAGTGTGCGCTGCTACGTGTGTGCTGCTGCGTGTGTGTGTGCTGCAGCGTGTGTGCTGCTGCGTGAGTGTGTGCTGCAGCGTGTGTGCTGCTGCGTGAGTGTGTGCTGCTGCGTGAGTGTGTGCTGCTGCGTGAGTGTGCGCTGCTGCGTGTGTGCTGCTGCGTGTGTGTGTGCTGCTGCGTGTGTTGCTGCTGCGTGAGTGTGTGCTGCTGCGTGTGTGCTGCTGCGTGTGTGCTGCTGCGTGTGTGTGTGCTGCTGCGTGTGTGTGTGCTGCTGCGTGTGTGTGTGCTGCTGCGTGTGTGTGTGCTGCTGCGTGAGTGTGTGCTGCTGCGTGTGTGTGTGCTGCTGCGTGAGTGTGTGCTGCTGCGTGTGTGTGTTGCTGCTGCGTGAGTGTGTTGCTGCTGCGTGTGTGTGTGCTGCTGCGTGTGTGTGTGCTGCTGCGTGTGTGTGTGCTGCTGCGTGTATGTGTTGCTGCTGCGTGAGTGTGTTGCTGCTGCGTGTGTGTGTGCTGCTGCGTGAGTGTGTTGCTGCTGCGTGTGTGTGTGCTGCTGCGTGAGTGTGTGCTGCTGCGTGTGTGTTGCTGCTGCGTGTGTGTGCTGCTGCGTGTGTGTGTGCTGCTGCGTGTGTGTGTGCTGCTGCGTGTGTGTGCTGCTGCGTGAGTGTGTGCTGCAGCGTGTGTGTGTGCTGCTGCGTGTGTGTGTGCTGCGTGTGTGTGTGCTGCTGCGTGTGTGTGTGCTGCTGCGTGTGTGTGTGCTGCTGCGTGTGTGTGCTGCTGCGTGAGTGTGTGCTGTTGCGTGTGTGTGTGCTGCTGCGTGTGTGTGTGCTGCTGCGTGAGTGTGTGCTGCTGTGTGTGTGTGCTGCTGCGTGAGTGTGTGCTGCTGCGTGTGTGTGCTGCTGCGTGAGTGTGTGCTGCAGCGTGTGTGTGTGCTGCTGCGTGTGTGCTGCGTGTGTGTGTGCTGCTGCGTGTGTGTGTGCTGCTGCGTGTGTGTGTGCTGCTGCGTGTGTGTGCTGCTGCGTGAGTGTGTGCTGTTGCGTGTGTGTGTGCTGCTGCGTGTGTGTGTGCTGCTGCGTGTGTGTGTGCTGCTGCGTGAGTGTGTGCTGCTGCGTGAGTGTGTGCTGCTGCGTGTGTGTGTGCTGCGCGTGAGTGTGTGCTGCAGCATGTGTGTGTGCTGCTGCGTGAGTGTGTGCGCGTGGATGTATTGACGCGCGAGTGTTGCCGTGGGGCACCTGGTCTCGTCTATGTAGAGAGCTTCGAGCACAGAGGCCGCGTACTCGATGTTCCTGCGGAGTTCGGCCACGGGCAGCTCGCCCTTCTCCAGCTGTTTCACCAGGCAGCGGAGCCTGGGCACACGCAGAGGACGGGACCGAGGGAGACGAGAGTTCATACACAAATAAAGAGCCTCCGTATAGCCTGGACACAGACTTTTGGGACAAGTGCTGTTAGCGAGCAGCACCTATGAAGGCCGGCACGTGGCACACAAGGGTCGCCAGCAGTATGCCCGGCCTCCTTTGTCTCTCGAGTGGCGATGTTTACGCATCGCACGATGTCCTCATTTGTGGCAGGGTTTGGCTCTATGACCGTTTTAGCGGGTCAACGTGTCTGTGTTTGTGGAGTGGAGGGGTTGATGAGTTAGGAGGGATTTGAGTTTCGGCATCACTCCTGTGCATGTGCAATGAATATAGTTTCTTATACAAATGAAATGAACGTATGGATGTGCGCGCTCAACGGTAAAACATGTGCATTGTGGGCATTTGGCCGGGAAGGTTACAATTCATACAGCATCCCGCCCACCCACACCAAACTTTAAAGTTCAATCAAAACGTCGACACAGGAAAATGAACGGCTATTGAGAGGACTAATGAAACAATTATGCATGTCGCTTGTTCTTCAGCACTAACTCAGGAGCTGAATTAATGAATTCGCCATTCTGCAGTGACACATTTGAAGAATGGCTTCCGTTGAGATGGGCTTTAATGTACAGATCACACAAAAAAGATGTTTATAAAAAAAAAGCATTGGGAAATTAGTACAATCTCTCATCCCCTGAATCACTTGGAGATATCCAATATGAACTTAAGGTGTTAAATTAATAAGGCATGCAAACTGAATAGATTATTGGACACGGAATGACGCGGATGACAGGGTAATATGAATTGCATTAATGCAGTCGACACACGCATAACCAACACACAGCCACGCGCTGTGTTGCTTCACAACTCGCACACGAACCCTGCTTCAGATCAGTGGAGACTCGACCAACGACTTATGACCAAAGGAGAGACGTAGCAGACCTGCAGGGACCGATAGGCAGCGCTGCAGACACTGAACACCACACAGCCCAGTGACCGGTTGAGTAAAATACCTCAAGTGAAAATGTCTCCTTGCGAATAATTAAATAGGAAACTAATGCAAAGCTTCATCGACGTTTTCTTGGTTCTTTCGGTAAAGTCACGTAGAAGGGAAATAATAAAATAATAAAAAATAAAACATAATAAAATAATTCTCACGACGTTTCGGCCACAACGCAAGCAGCCGTCCTCATTCAGACGCTGTCTTTCCGACAGCCCTGTTCTTCGCCTGATTACGGCTGCTTGCGTTGTGGCGAAACCTCGTGAGAATTATTTTATTATGTTTTATTTTTATTATTTTATTATTTCCCTTCTACGTGAATTTACCGAAAGAACCAAGAAGATGAATCCCTGCAGTCACGAAAGCTTTAAATCGAAATTTCATCGACGTTCTTTTATGCCGCCGACAACAGAATTACGTGCCATTACTGATTCTGAATGAAACAATATAACCCTCCAATTTGCTATAAATTTGGTGGCAATTGCTACACAGTGCTCGTACAACAATAACCATAACGATTTACAGCCCTTTGGCAATCCACTGCTGGATGTAAGCTTTACCACACTGTGCTGGTCATGCTATTTTATGTTGCCATACCATGCGGGTCAATGCAGGTTCGTCAAGGCGGGAGGGGGGGCTCCCAACACTGTTTCAGACATCACTTGCCCCTGATCTCAGTTGTGGCCAGCAAACCAAACGCACTCCACTGCACAAGAACATTAAATGAAGGTGGCCTTCACAGCTAATCAGTTACATTTTCAATTGGAATATTCAACAGCAATCATCGACCCCTGCTGCAAAACACATTGGCAGGACCCTCCTGAAAAGAGGTGTGAGACTCAGTGAGGCTTTTCTGGGTGGGTAAAAAACAAACGTGATTGAAGAAAAGAAGGGGAAAACATTTAAAATTGGTTGTAAAAAGACAAAGTACAAATACAAAGTACAGTATTAGATGCTAGTTTATAGATTAACTTACTTTAAATCATCACTTTAACTCGATCACTTTCTCACAGTCGTGCAGAGTTCCAGATGCGATTCGTGGATCGGAAGTTTGTGAATAGCGAGGGAACACTGGAAGGTAAAAGCAGCTCATCACAGGAAGGACTCGAGTCCAAATTCCTGGCTCACATTACGCAGCACTTTCTCTAAAACACCAGCTGGGAAATAGTCGTCTAATCGCACTAACCAACACCGCTCATAGTTGAAGTAAATGTGCAGAAAATTACGTTTCAAATCTCATGGTGATGATATTTTAAAAGTAAAATGCAGGCTTGTATAACAATGTATATGTTTTACTATTAACATCAGATCAATTTGCTTCTACCTTCCTGTTCCACAGAAATGTTATAGTTAGGGGGCTAAATCCTATTTTTGTTACCTTCTTATCTGCCTAGGAGGGGGAAAATTGCCCTTTTTACGCCCCCACGATGCCACCGATGTCATGGATGCGCTGAGAGGACTCGAGGTGAGACCCACGGGCCCATGGCACCATACCTCCCTACTGCTGTGTTTGTGAAATACATTGGGTCAAATAAATCGTTGCCTATTAGGTGATCAAGGTAATTTTTTTTCATTTTTAAAGCGGGTAGTGTATTCAAAGCACATGCAAATGCGATTACAAATGAGCAAACCGTGCATTCATCTTTCAAGTGAAGAATGCAAAGTGAAGTGCTCGATATCCAATTTGCAGGTGAATGGCCAGGGCATATTGACGAGGCTATGTGGACTCTGTCAAAATTCTCCTTACTACGGGGACATATGAACTGGCTATTGCAGTTTCTTGGTATTTTCTCGTTTAAAAAACATCTTTCTGGGGACATGCGAATACATTTTTCACAGAGAGAGAGAGAGTTTTCATCAGTCCATTTATATCAATATTTTGCAGCAGATGCAAAGGGCTGTGAAATTGTTTGACCACGAAAATGGAAATTACCCTACATTTTCCACTTCATTCCTCTTATCGACCTTCCTTTCTGACTCATGGCAACGCGCTGGCATGCATCCAGGCTGCGGCTACGGACTGCCCATCAAAGCAACCTCTGATGAGTAACCGCTTCAATATAAAAAAAGCATATACCAACTATTAAATATAGATATAAAAAATACATTTCCGGATCCTCTAGTTTTTCTTTCCACATTTAGAAAAATTATTTAGATTATTTGGATTATTTATCTGCTATACATTTACACGTGATAAGCCACTCTGTTGAGCTATCATTTGTGGCCAGGTCACAATAAGTTAATACCACAGTGGGCATTTGTAAGATAAACAAAAAGTCTAGTTTTATTTGTAGAACATTTTTATTGATTTGTTTACCTTTCCTATACTTTGCACTCCTATCGTAGCTTAGTACTGTTTGTTGTTGTAATGTTCTGACCCGCCCCTACTGGACATCTGTGAAAAAGAGCTTTATAGCTCATCGGATTCCACCAGTATAAATCATATTCTGATTCTGATCTCATGACAAAATATATACACATGTATAAAAATTAACCCATAAAAACAAAGTTTTTCACTCTAAATCCTTTATATGCGTGGCGGCTAGAGTCCTCTCGTCCTCTGGCTTGAGATGGCTGCCACCTATGACTCAGATGATTGTCTGCCAGCATTAAGCAATTGGTAATTAAATATTTATTTATTTTTCCGTAAACTGTGTAAAATTTTGGAAAAAAATTTTCACGAAAATTAATTGTCACGGACAACGAGTCTGTGTGGAAAATGTCAGCTCGATTGGATCACGGGAAGTGGGTTAAAAAACGACCGAAAGATTTGCACGGTCATAAGCAAGCAAGCAAGCATGCACGCAAGCAAGCAAGCGAACTTAATATAAAGGATTTAAAAATGTAAACTCTTATGGGGAAAAAGACTCACTCAATTACAAATACAATGGCACACAAGCCCAAATGAAAAACATCACCGGGTTCACCATGAACACCGTCTTCAAAAGAAAACATGATTCATCATCGGTTTCTTTTGGGTAAGCTCACAGGGTAGTTATAATGCCAATGTTTTAACCCCAACCCTCCACAGCCCGACAGAGCCAATCAAATCATGTTGTCATGGCATGGGCAAATATGTCAATTGATTTGGTTATTTAGCAAAAACCAGAATGATAAAAAAGCAAGACAAATGGTACCGTATTTTACACCACATTTTATTGGAACTTAGTTTGTTGTCCTTCCCCGATGAACATGGTCGGCTATGTGCAGTGCAGAAGAAGTTCAACGTACGTATATACATTTACGCACGACAGCTGGGCTTTTGTTCGCACCTGATGATGCTGGATGTAATCTCCGGCGAAACGTTGCGCAAACATTTTGCTCGCTTTTCAACGTTCCTCCTGGTTTTAGTTGAAAAAGCCAAATTGATTGGCACATGTACCCACGGCGTGGCAACGTGAAGTGGCTGGCTCTGTCGGGTGGCGGAGGGTTTTAGATGAGAGATTTGGCGTTATACCAACACGATGATCTCACCCAAAGGAATAAACTAATCATGAATCATATCGGTCGTGAAAGCCTACGTAGACAATGAAAGAGAAACATAAAATAGAGGCTAAAGTGTCGGGCAAAGGCTCTTTTTGTTCACAATGGCCCTTGCTTCACTTATTGACATTGAGCGAAGAAAGCCGGTTATTTATTTTATGTTCTAAGACATTATTAACGACGGGAAAGGGGGGGCGAGATTTTTGCCGATGTTCACAAACATCAATTTTTAGTGAGTTTTAGATGTAGGAGGACACTGAAGTGCTTGGAGAAAATCTATGCACACATGGAGAGAGAAAACCTCCCATACAGCACAGTGATCATAATCCTACTTATTGTACTGCCTCCTACTCCCATATCCTTGTTCGGCTGGTTAATTATTCACGCCCATCACCGTGATTGCATCTCTGAGTAATTCACCAATTGAATAGTCACACTGCTAACAGCAACGCATGCCGCTGGCTCGTAAAAATACCTGAACCGAAGCACAAAAGGCACGTCCTAAAAT